TTTTGAAATGCAGGGTGCCTGAAGGCCATGTTTACATGTAAGACCACCATTTTTGGTTGAAAGGGGGAAGATGTGTATATTAAGAGTCAAGGCTGGAGTTATGTATGTTGTGGATTATTGTTTCATTTTTACTGCACATGCAGAGCTCGGCCTGACATAGCAGCAGGGGATGTTTGCAGGCACATCGATCATTAGGGAGGCTTGTATCACTAGAAATGAGCTTGAGAGAGAGAGAGAGAGAGAGAGAGAGAGAGAGAGAGAGAGAGAGAGAGATAGATAGAGAAAGAGAGGGGGGGGGGGAGGGAGAGACCAGCAATACCCCCCCCCCCCTCCCAACGAAAAGGGGGAAAAAAAGGTTATTGAATACCATTCTGGTTTGTAGCAATTGATGCATAGTAATTGTTCTGTCATAACCTTCCAACTTCTTTTCAATTGTGACATGCATACCTGTATGATGGCCTTACTTGCACTCAAAGAGTTTGATCTAATGAAATAGAGATAAGGGAAGGTCTCAGTGGAATGGGTATTGATTAGATTAAGAGGTATTTCACAATTGCATCAATGTCTCGCATCGTCTTTACCTTTTCCGTGAAATTTCTAGATCAACACTTTTGTGAAATTATGAAAATTTGATTAGCTGAATTTGTCAGTGATGTTTTCCCTTCACTTATTTGAATACAAATATTATGATATTGGTTGAGAATGTGATGATGGTATTCCCTGATTCCATGTTAATGCAATTAGGAGATTGGGAATTCCCCAAAACCTTGTTTGTATTCTCTGCCTTCACATTTGGCTTTATTGTTTTGACAGTAACATGGATTTGTTCCAACCTGCTTGAAGGAGGGAGAGATGGAAAATTTGAAAACAATAAACCATTGGAAGAGAATATAATGTATAACTATGATATAAATATACAGAGAGAGAGAGAGAGAGAGAGAGAGAGAGAGAGAGAGAGAGATATGAGAGATATAGAAAGAGAAGAGGGAGATAGACAGATAAAGAGAGAGATAGAGAGAGAGACATGCGACAGACACAGAGAGATACACAGAGATAGAGACAGGGAGAGAGATGGACACAGAGAGAGAGAGAGAGAGAGACAGACAGACAGAGACGGAGACAGAGACGGAGACAGAGACAGAGACAGACAGACGGACCTACATGTTAATATAGATACCAGGAAAACTGTAATACAGAAAAATAAAACCATGTACAACCAAAGAGATCTCTTTGGTTCAGCCAGGAGATGAGGAACGGAAGTTAATAATAAGAAAGGCAAAGAATATAGAAAGGGCAAGATGCAGAGTCTGAGTGAAATACTGATGAAGGAAGCAACAGGAAATAAAAGCAAGATACTGGTAAATAAAACATAACGAAATATAACAGTAGAGTAGACAATGGACAAATGGAAAGAGAGGAAAATGGAAGGATTTTAAGAAAGAAATAGACAAACAAAGAATACTAGAGAAGAAGCAATTAGATCAGGAAGTGATCTCAAAATGATGTAAAAATTAATTTCAAGGCAGGAAAAATGACAATCAGTCAAATGATAAATAGGTCTTCTTGAATGTGCTATACTCCAACTCATCACCCTGAATGTCAAGACAAGGTCAAATAGCACTCTCAAATGTCAAGACATTTGCGATTCATATGGGAATATTAGTCAAGTAGGTCTGTTTGCGTGAACCCCTTTCACGAAGCTTGAGGATGAAGATCACATCATCCGCTCTTAGGCTTCCCAAGTACCGGAGGGTCGGGTGATTTACTTGCGTAATTTCATGCTAATGGGGACCCTGCACACCGCCGGAGGGGGTGATTTTATTGTCGTTAATTATTTTTTGTTTTTTTATGCAGAGAATCCTTGTTTACCAACTGCTCATTTGTAGAATTGTAGATTTAACAAAGAATTGAAATTTCTCTTTTATTTTTTCCTATCCTGCAATAATTGCAAAAATTTTTTGGACGAGATGTCAAATTTGATGAATGTCTGAAAAAAATCATATTAAAAAAGTTAAGAGAAAGTTATACGGTTGATCCATAATCAACAGCGCCATCTAGTGACACCACTGTGTAGTCAATAACATGTGATGCATCGTGGGAAAAAGTCAACAAAAATCTCACCTGTAGCATTGCTATACCCTAGGAGATACCGGTAAGGGAATTTAATCGTAATTTTTGATGGGAAAGATTTGTAAATGTGTAGCTTATATGGGGTAAAATTTTGGTCAGGGGTAACTTTTTCAATCCATGTTATCAGCAAAGGAGATTTGATGGGGCTATTCAAAGTAAAATGTGCCCTGATGCTAGTAAAAAGTTGTCAAATTGGCAAAAATCTAAAAACTAAAAGAAAACAAAAAAGAAGATAAGAAAGAAAGAAAGAAAGAAATGAGAAATCATGAGGTTTGATGGGATAATGATACAGTATGCAGTCCCATATGTTGATATCTTTGTTTGTGCCTGTCGGTGTATGTGCCTGTCGGTGCATATGCCTATCGCCATTATTTCTTGCTCTCGCTTTCACTTCTTCTTGTCTGAAAATTAACCCCACAATATTTGAATATCGTTTCATATCTTTCGGCAGTTTCTCTCGAAATTCACCCAAACCAGTCACCACCAGAATGCCAAATTACCTTTAATCTCACTTGTCCCCTCCATCTTCTTTTCTTTGTTGAATCAGTAAATGTCAGTGCATCTTCCCGCCATGCCCTTATCAAATCAAGAGATGCTTCTTTGAATGCCTGCTGTTGACTCAGCCGTTGCCATAGGAAACTCTTCCTTTAGACTCCCTCCTCTCTCCCTAGGCCTGTCCTCATCAGCTCGAGATTGCCAAGTATCCCGCTATTTCTGATTTGCGAAATAATCCCGAAGTTACGAATCGCGTCTTCGTCAGCTCGAGACTTGACCTCGAAACTTGAAGCTCGAGCTCGAGAAATCAGCTCGAGATATTTTGCTCAGCGTTCACGCATAGTGCGAATCTTCGGGCTGGTGAGGACGCACCGGACAAATGGCGGGATATTTTGCAAACTAGCCCAAGATATCTTGGGATGATTATCCCGACCAAATATCCCACTAATTGCAACTTCGGGCTGATGAAGACGCAAAATAACTGGATAATTTGCGATCGGGATAGTTCAAATAGCGGGATATTTGGCAATCTCGAGCTGATGAGGACAGGTCTCCTATTCACTCGCTCCTTGCAAATTCGTTCGTCGGTTGAAAGACATCAGGGGCCTTGCTTCCCGTCTCTTGCACTCGTTTATTTTGCTCCTGAAATTGAATATGATTTAAGTTGTATCATTATGTCGCCCGATGCCTTTCACCTTGGTCAATAACTCCTGGAATCTCTGCTTTAGGTTTTGTAAATTCCTTTGTCATAATGTTGCGTGATCGAGTGATTTCTGAGAGTTTGTGTGTTCTCATCATCAGCACATATTTAAGTAGGAGATATTATGATCACGCTATGGTATTGTACTATAACCTGTACTGAATAATTCAAGCATTTAAAGATACTACAGTGTATGTCCCTTTTGCAGCCAACATCAAATTGTGTAGGACTTTGCAGGAATTATGAATATGTCATGTACAGTATGTCCCATTTGTCAAATTTAAACATTGGCAGTGTCCTAGTATTCAAATTATGCATGGAAATCCATTTCCCCTTTTTTCTATTAAAATGCATCTACTGTTACACATTTATATCTGCTCCTATGAGTAACGGAATACATTTTGTACAGAAATTAATGTTTCTGTCCCAAAGTTTTAAAACTTTTTTTATTGTCAAATATTTTACCTCTTTCAAAAGACAAAAAACAAGAAAATGACATTGAAAAACCACAAATGTATAGCTTGAAATAATATAGAATTTGCAAATATGGATTTCAATCTTGAGTTTTTGAAATCAAAGAATTATAAAGTTATGTATTATCATGTTATTAACTTTAAGACACAGATATATTACAGATTAACTCAAGCTCTTCATCAGGGATGCCAGTTTTCAGGCAATAGCCTGAATTCAGGCCCTGGCAATTTATTTTCAGGCCATAGTTTAGGTTCTTTTGTGTACAAAATAGCTTATTCTAGGTGATTTTCAGGCCCTCTGATCAATTCTAACTGGCATCCCTGCTTCATTCATGGTGCCATTTTCTTTTATCTGTATAAGATCTCTAGTATTGACAACACTTAATGCACATGTATACCAAAGTAACAAAAGATTAAAAATGGGGAAAGTAACAAAGTCTCAGAGGAAAAACAAATTATTTGCAGTTTTTCTTCTTTATTAAGCCTCTTTACTGCATTTTTTTCAAACTGTTCCAGCTTCTTACCTAACAGGCAATTATTACTTGATATTATGCAGAAGTTACAATTACTGTAAAACAGAGAAGAAAAAAACCCAAAACATATAATAATATCTGAATAAAGCGCATGTGAACCTTTGCTAACCATCACAATAATACAAATGCTTATCACGATATGCTATTTCAGTTTCCTACTATAAAATCATCTTTAAAGCATGCATGCCCTTACCAACTTGCTTTTCTAGAACCTAATTTCCAACTTACTTAATAAAAACAATAAAAATAATTAAATAGTACATGTATGTTCTATTCTATTCTTCTGGTGGTCTTGTTTTGTGACAATGAAGTATTTTTTTTTATGTTGCTAGCCATGCAAAACTAAATTAAGCACCCACAGTCATCAACAACCATTTGTGAATTGTCATTGACCGTCATTGTTGATCAAACGGTTTTTGAGCGTCAAGTAACGCCTGGCTGGAATGCTCCCCAGGGAGTGGAGATTGTGCACACAGTGTGTGTGGGCAAGTATTGATTCCAATGACCGGCGTAGTACAGTGTATATATTTTTTAAAGCGCTTAGAGATGTTTGTATAAAGCGCTTAGAGACATTTGTATTAAGCGAGCTAAGAGCGAAATATTAGTATTATTATTAATTGATCAATGAACACCCTGAAATTCACCCCCCATTTTTGTTCTCTTTTACAGATTCACCGGTTCCATCACAGAAGCCAAAGTTACCGAGTGGTGTGACGGAGCGAGACATGGAGCTGTTCCGGGTAGCCCAGGAGCAGGCCATGTTGGTCATCATGCCGCCAAAGTCACCTCCAGAGGGCGTAAGTCCCCAACATTATTTCTATCTCTATATATCTCCCAGACCCTCTCCGCTGTGAGGGGCTTTAGAGCATGTGACTGGGTGGGTTCGAATTCCCTGGATGGGTTGTGGGGGAGGAAGGGGAAGGGGGTAGTACACTGCAGGTTGGGGGGGGGGGGGGGAGAAGTACCGGTAGACATTATTTCGGAGAGCAAGGGGGTTAGGGGCGTAGTACACTCGAGGGGGAGGGGAGCTCGCAAGATACGTCACAGAGTTGCCAATATGTGTGTAATTAAATGCAAATTTCAAAAATTCATCATTTCCTTATTTTTAATCAGAATTTGCATAATCTTTCACTGACCTGTTCCTCTAATTAATTATATTAAAGCTAACTTAATATCATGGTGGACTTCCCTATTAAGTTATTTGAGAAGGACATTGTCTAAAACTATTGATTTGGCATCACTTTGAATAAGACAAAATTTGGAAAGGAATTATGCAAATAATGATACGAGTAGAAACTCTCTCAAAACAGATCACCCAATTAAACGTAAAACACTTGAAATTCATTATGAAAGGTATTTAACAGTCCTGTATTAAAAGAAATAGATCAAGAATGAAAAATAATGCGGAAGGGGAGAGCAGAGAAATAAATGATAAATTCAGCTATGGGGATGAAAATAGTACCCTAAAACTGTGGAATAAATCCCTTGCTATCAGTATAGAACGTGACTCGGAATCCAACTTCTATTTGCCTATCCTCCATACGACTGTTTGCGAAGACAATTTGTGTATTGCTAGTATTCCAATGTGCTATATGGGTCATTTTTTAGCATTTAAATTGCTCCACCAAAAATGGAACCTTGGCTCATTTTTGAGGAGCAAAAGCTGCCTAAAATAGTAGGTACAGCATTGCGGTCAAGCTTTTTTTTTTTATAGATATTACATTTAGTATTAACAAAAAGAAATAAAGTAGTGCAGGAATTCTGCATTTTGAGACAGTGTCTAGCATTTAGTGCAGAAATGCTTTTTAAATACTAAATTGAATTGAATTGAATTGAATTACATTTGCTTGAATACATTATTTAACAAGACAGTCGTTGATGTAATGTTCTGAAGTCTTCCTTAAGACTACCAGGCACTTTATTTATTTATTAACTACAAAGCTCATGTTTAACTTTTCATGAATAGATAGAGAAAAATCAACATCCTCATAATCCTCTCTTGGAAACATTTCCATATTTGTTGGGCGCCTTGGCATGGGATCATAGAATCAATGCATTTTAATGCAGTAATCCTGATCCTTCAATTTCTGCGCTTATTTAAGAGATTATCCAAACCACTCTAGCTGTCTGTAAACTGTAAAGTTAAATGTCATACAGCCATATATGAGTGATAATAATGGAAATCTCAAGTAGATGATAATTCTCAGCATATTGAAATGCACTGATCTCTTTGTATGCAAAGGTGTCTTCAAAGCAGATCAGAACCCTTTGAATTTTGAATATCAGGAATGCTATTTTGATCGTTTTGGAGGTGTATTCAACCTTTTTTAAATCTCATGCTAAAGTTGTACCAACCAGGCCGATAATCAACTGACAACACACTGAAAAAGAATTAAAAGGGAGTAGACATGAGGTCCAGGTGCATGGGGAGGGGGTTTAACTTAAAGGTAAAGACCAGTATTGGAAACGCCCCATTTTCAAAAAATGAAATGGAAGCTCTCATTACCAATCATGTGAAAGAATATGTTTTGACTAATACATGATGATAACAAATTTGCCGGGAAACCGCCTACTAATTCATATATTTGGTAAATTTGTTTCTCTCATGGTCTGTGAGAGATATAGGGTAGTCCCATATACATCTTTCTGTGTATAGTGCTTGTAACTTTACGAAGAATGGGCCAAATTTCTTATCATTTTGATGAATCCAGAACCTTGCAGATGCTAGATGCTACAATGTAGATGATCAACCTTTTCTGATCGATTCCACAACGTTTCTTTCACAATGCAATCGCATGACCATAACTGGTCTTTACCTTTAAGTGGAGGGGTTGGTGAAGGGTTGGGGTCGAAAGGGGGAGGGGGCTGTTTAGAAAGGGGAGAATCGCTTTGTGAACGGTCACATGCTCTCAGGCTCTTCACTCTCTTCTTTTTTGGGACAATCAAATCAAAAAATTAGTATGAACACGTGAACAAAGATACATCAATGTTTGAAACACATGCAAAACTAAAGCAAGTGTTTTTGTCAGGAAAGTAAGACGCCCACTGTCTCAAAATAAGCACTAAAAGTGCCAGGATTTGGCTGTGAGATGCTCCTGATAAACGGGAGTCATTATCACATGTTTTGACTTGGCTCGATGCCTGACCACAAGACCCTCCTTCTTTGACTTAATTTTTATTTATATGGGGGGGGGGGGGGGGCTGTAGCTAAAAGGTCATTCAGAGAAACATGAACAATAAAATTACCCGGAGCATTGATAAAAAACATAGAAAAACAGGATTGTTTCTTCTTACTAAGGGGAGGTAAAAGTAAAGCACACAGTTTGAGTGGGGGGGGGGGGGGGCAAATGATGCTATGTTGATGAATTTTTGAATGAGAATTTGTTGAGGGAGTACTATGTAGTTATTGAAAATTTATTATCTCCATTAATATTGAAGAGCAAAAGAATTTAAACCAAATAGTGTAGGAAAGCTCAATCATTGCATTTTAATTAGTTTGGAGGCTGTATCAAGTCTTTCGTCAACAAAACGGGGTTAAGTCTTTTGTCAACTCTGTTTGTTGATACGGCAGGCAGCCAGTGAAAATGAACTTGTTTAATCAAATTATGGAAAGGCATGCATTACTTTAAAAAAAAACAGAACTTTGTAAGTCCTGGCTCATTTTTCCTGATTCATTTTTACTGATTGAGGTGTCATATGAAAGGGCAGAAATTGAACTTTCTAGAAATGTGATTTTCTCTTTGAAATTCAGATATCGCCCGCCAAATGACTTTTTGGTCTCCTCTCTTCAAATTGTATTGAATCATTCATGCATGAAATATTCATCATATGAGTTACATCAAATGAAAGAGAAGGATCTAAGCTTTACAAATATGTGTCATTTATTAATTATAATTGTGATTAAGTTATGATGAAACATTGATAATTCTCGGTTTCTTTTTTTCTGGGACGCACTGTATAGAGTTAATGCTAGATTTATGTTTACCAGTGATTCCCCAAACCAGTGGCAGATTCATGTGCTGGGTTAGCCATCCTCAGCCAGCTAAAAATACTTTTAAAATAAGAAAGGGGTGACTAGAGTTGAGGAAATCGCCCCTGATTGGTAACCGCCGTCCCTGGCCGACTCAATATCGAGGAACCCCCTTTCCACCTGAGAAAGGACCTCGATCTTGGTACCCTAGTCCTACATGGAGATGTACATGTATGTGAAGTCACCTTAGAATAAAAATCATATATTTAAAGTGAAGTTTTAACATTTATGTCAAGTATATTTTAACAAAAGCCCCCTCCCCCCAAAAAAAATATATTAAAAAACATTAAGAATGTACTAATTTTCTTCTAGTTCTGATGTTTCAACCAAAATTCCTGTTCTCGTGGTATAAATGATACAGACAGGGAATATTAGACTATAGATGATGGCTGGCTTATAGGTATCAGCGTCCCCAAATAACAAATTATGTTTGATTTTGTACGTGTTAAAAAGTTGTGGATCTTTTGTGTCCTTTATATTTGATGTCATTTTATTACTAATTTCTTATGATGCATTAGACATCAATAAATCTTCCGTTGGTCCTTCTTTCTTTCTTCTATCTTTTTTCTTTTTTAAAGAAGAGTCAATCTTTAGGTCTTACATTGTTATGCTATTATCGTTCTTTCATTATTAAGTATTTTCCTTTACCTGTGCCTTGAGAAGGGAAAGACTAACTGAATCACTGTAACCCTTTTATTTATCCTTTCCGTATAATTGATTGGGGGTGTGCAGGTGGACTACTACACCAGCCTTTCCTCAACCCTTATACGAAGTGTGCAGTGTATTTTTAACGTGCATAAATGGTGACTCTCCTCCACACGGGGGCTCCATTTAACATCCTATCCGAGGGACAGAGTGTTTTCCACTGTAACATACCCTGCATCTATCAACAGGCGAGGGGCATATCAACACACAACTCCGGCTTCAATCATCCGCCTTGGCTGGATTCAAACCCACGATCTTTGGGTCGATAAGCAGATGCTTTTAATACTGACTGAGCCAACCCACCTCCTGTTATGTTATAGTTATTGAAAAAAGCCCAATATATATCCCGGGTTAGAAATTGAAATATCCCCAATCAATAAGGAGAATCTAAAAGAAGACCAGAGGCATTCAAAATCCGCAACCACTTAGATACTTATCCACAAAAAGACAATTTTGCAGGATTAATCGTGGTACATTTATCGTCATGGCAACAACAAATCTCATCAGCCTGCATGCTCCATTCATTGAGGGGGGGGGGGGGGGGGGGAGGAAGAGATATCCACTTTCAATTTGACCAAGCCTCCCCCATTCAGAACTGTTTTGTATGCATGATCTCTGTACAACTGCATATCAAGTTCTTACATTTTCTCATGAGATTCTCATTGTTGAAGCAAATCATTGCATGGCTAAATCAAAATTGTTTGGGAATCTTTGACTTCAAGAATTCCATGGAATCCAGGGAAAAAGTTAATACAAATTTGTTGGGGGCTACTTTTCAAGCTTGCTTGCATGAAAATAACACTCTTTAATTTGTTTTGCACTGAACTCTGTGCAAATTTGGGGGGCTCTTTTAGGCATTTTGGGGGCTAATTCGCCCCGAGCCCCCATGTTTTCTTTTCCCTGATAGAATCATAGTAGATACCCATGTGAATTTGGTTCATTCAAGAACCATATGGCATCAATTTACATTTGCCACCCTTGACCCATGCAAGATGCAACCTTGGTGAAAATATGTAACATCACTTCTGAAAATTCAGAATTTGTCAGTTTATGTATTTTGTC